CATGTTGGGTGTGCCTTATCATTTACAAATAATAATTTATACAAACTTTTTCTTTTGCTTTTTTGCTATTTCATCATAGGTGCGCCTTATCATTTATAAAATTATAAATTATGATTTATATAAAGTTTTTCTTTTGCTTTTGTGCTCTCAGAACATGGAAGCGGCTTTTTTCTGAATTTTTCTTTTATATTCGAACTCGAATTAGGCATCTACTCTTGAAATGATCATATTATTCTTCTTGGAAAACAATTTTAAAATTTTATTTTCTCTCGATGAACATTATGTTAATAAAATCAAACTTTTTATTTATTCATTTTAATTTTATTTTGACTTGGGAAGATTAATCAAGTATAGAGAATCATTCATTTTTATTGTTGTTAGAATAGATAATCAATGCATGTTAGTAAAAAAGTATATGAAAAATTTGGATAGTAACAAGAGAATCGTTGTGGTATGTTTGCTTCTTATCTTGTGTGTCTGTGATGATGAGTAGCTTCAGTTCTATCAGGTATTTTTCATGGCGAGATGGTAAAATGTGGACATAAAAAAAGTCAAACATTCTACCATAGTGCAGAATAATGATGTATTATATTGTTTAATGTTTTTCTTCTCTTTGTATACTTTGTTTAGATGTATCTGCCTGAATATCGAATTTCATGCTTTTTGTTTTTTCCGGTCTTAGTTGACAAAAGTGTCTCTTTTCTCTAATCAGTAATCGTTATTCGTGTACACATCATTATTCTACTACATTCCGCGCATTATTTTATTTCATCCAACTGCTGTGCTTCTCGAATCGTCTCTCTATGATGACAGCCGCTTCTGTTCTCAACTTTTCGATCAGTGACAAATATGACCAATTTTGATCTGTGGTTGCTTCATCCATCAGTCAAACAAAACCGGCCACAGGTAAAGTATTCACGTTGCAGGAAATCCACGCTTTTGGCTTATATTCATATCGATCGTAGTGATTAGCATCGATCAACATGAGTAGGACGGGAGGAAAGGAAGTCATGAATCTCTTTTGTCGATATTCGAAAGTATCAAGGTAAGAGAGTCACTATTAACTATTCAGAAGTCGAAGTAGATTAAGGTATATCCATTGTACTCATGTGTATTAGATTATAAGTTAATCAACTACAATTTCAAAGTCAGTTCAATTCTGTTATTTTTGCAATTGTCTACATTGTGCTATTGTATCTTTTTGTCAAACAGATATTATATTTCGTGTTTCACTTTAACGCGAAAAATTTATCTTTCTTCGTCCCACATACTGATCTAGACAGCCAATCCCTCTCTCTCGTTTGTTAATAGATAATTCTCTAATTGGTAGTAAAAACATTTGTATGACGCTTTACCCATATAGGGCAAATCTTGTCAAATAATAATTATTAAATGCCACGATTGGTATGAGAAAACTGATATGATTGCAATATTGGAAGAAAATCTTACGTAGTATCAACGATAGTCTCGAATTAGCAGAATATCGAAGTTATACTATGACATAGCAAGAAAATCGTGTATGAGTGAAATAATCTTATTTTCTCTGAGATGTGCTTCTTCCTGATGGTCTTAAAAGAATAATTGAAAAAATTCATAAAGAAATAATATAAGAAAATATAAGTTTATTTTCCTCATTCTCAATTTCTTGAATATATGACACAACTTCTGACGACTGCTAAAATATTTGATCAGTTCTAGAATTTTTACTGAATAAATCTCCATCGATTTGTTTCTTTCTGTTATAGTACATCTAATTTACAAACTTCTATTTTGATAGGAGAACGTTTATTTATGTATATGACGTATTTTGAACTTTTTTAGATAAAAAATAAGGCATGAGTTCATCAATATCATCTCAAGCTACTCTTTTAATGAATAATAATATTTCAATTCCTCAATTAGCATTAGGTACATATAAAACAACAAATGAAGAAATGAATAATGTTATTGAAACAGCTCTTTCTGTTGGTTATCGTCATATTGATTGTGCTTGGCTTTATGGAAACGAAAAAAGTATTGGGGAAGGTTTATCTAATCAATTAAAAAAAGGGGAAATAAAACGATCGGATTTATTTTTGACCGGTAAACTTTGGTGTTCATTTCATAAAAGTAACCGTGTACGTCAACAATGTTTAATAACAATAGATGATCTTCGATGTCAATATCTTGATCTTTTTCTTATTCATTGGCCATTTGCTTTTGTTGATCAGGTTATGCATATTTATTTTTCTTTTTCGACAATTTTCTTTTTTTTTCTTTTGTTAAGGATCCAAATAAAAATGAAGAAGGTGAATCAAAAGTTGATGATGAAATTGATTTTACTGAAACATGGAAAGCAATGGAATTGTTAGTTGATGAAGGATTAGTTAAATCTATTGGATTATCAAATTTTAATGAGCAACAAATTGAACGGATTATTAATATATGCAAATACAAACCAGTTGTTAATCAAGTTGAAATTCATCCTTATTGTCCACAAATTGAATTAGAAAAATTTTGTAAAAAATATAATATTCTTCTTGAAGCTTATGCTCCATTAGGTTAGATTTTTCATTTTATTTAATTATTTTATGTTTCTTTTAATCTAAAAAATAAATAGGGGCCAAATATCGAGAATGGAAACAAAAAGATGATCCTGAAATCTTAGAAGATAAAGTTATAAAGTCAATTGCGGAGAAATATAATGTTCCTTCAGCTGCAGTTCTTCTTCGTTATATAATAGATCGAAATATAATTTGTATTGCTAAATCATCAAATGAACAACGAATTCGAGAAAATTTTAATTTATTTAAAGAAAATAAATTCAAATTAAGTGAAGATGATTTCAATAAAATTCACAATGAAATTCAAATTAAATTTCGTTATCACAAAATGGAAGATACAAAAAATGCTAAAGAATATCCTCTTAAACAATGGAAAGACTTTGTACCACAAAATTAATTAAATAACCGATATTTTATCTAAATAATAAAATTCTCTAACCTTCAAATAATAAATATTTCTCTCATTCACTCTTTTTATCATTTAAACTCAAGATGTCACTTGATGAATATTTCGAGACGTCAATCTGAGCTTTTCGATGGCTTGGGTGTGGGTGTGTGGGTGTGCGTGTATTATCTTGAGAGTGTGAGTGTGAGTGTGGGTGTGAGGTGTGGATGTGGGTGCGATGGGTGTGCGTGTGGGTGTGGATGCAGAAGAAGGCAAAACAGTGACATTCACACCCATACACCCACACACCCCACACCGTCACCCAATTCGCGATATCTTTAATTTATTGTTTATTTTTATGTTAGCAATAATATTGAAATGTAATATTGACAAAAGTTTTTTTTGTCACCACGGAGGCGTGTCATTTCCACATTAGGAAAAAGCTCGACAAGCACCTATCAGGAAGTAAGAATCTAATGAAAAATGCGTTTCTTTATCCAATACGAATTTTAGAGTCATGATCCATCAAATGAGAAACGAAATGCGTAAAATAAAATACGAGACGCTGCATTGTCTAATATGGACATTGACATATAATCGAACGCTGTATACATTAACTACTCTATGAATTAATCGATGAAATGATGAATCGGTGATTTATTAGAAAAGACACTAAATTTCCATTGACTGTCTGTAAAAAAAAAAGAAAGAGCTTTCAGAGCTCAAACGATTTAGAAAGGACTAGGGCGGATAAGGTCATTTATTGTCCCTAATGAATTCAAGTTATTTTTATTGGAATGATGTTAAGTATGAACCCTGATCACATTTCAGAGGTTTTTCAAAGTTCAAATGAAATGTATTCCTACTTGTAGAGGGTGGGTGTGGGTGTGGGTGTGAGTGTAGGTGTTGTTTAAGAGACAATCCACACCCTTACGCACACCCACCCACACCCGCTGAATACTCACTTACTCAAGCACACGAAAAATCACTCCGAACTTCAATGCTATCTAATACTTACAATCCAAAGTTCAGGTTTACTGACTATTGTAATCTCTGTAAGATATTCGAGGTGCTTATTCGAACGGACGTCTACGGAAAATCTGAAACCAAACTCTTCCATCAATTTTACTACGATCCACCATACCCAAAAACACAACTCACAACTATATGCTTCACTTTGGCCGCAATTTTAGACTTCAGGAAATCTTTATTGCCAAGCTCATCTTAAAAGAAAGATGAAATTACAGTATGTTCAACGTACGGAAAAAGAATAGAAATGTTTAAACGAGCTAAATAAACGCCATATCCTGAGGATGTCAAGGTCAAAATCCAGAAGAACATGACATCATCCATATCCACATCGACTACCTCAAGATTCATCCGAGCATTCCACTTCCACATGTTAATAGAAGAAAATAAACATAAGTATATAAGTACCCGCAATATTTTTCTGCAGAGCAAATATAATAAACGTAATGAAAAACAGAAATATATTATGAAACGGGATGATGAAAAACACAAGAAGTTTTACTTATAAAAGTTGAAATTCAAAAGTTCTCAATTGACTAATCAAAACACGATCGATTTGAACAAATTTTCCCTAGCATGTTTTATGCGACAAATCTCTGTATACGATCGAAGAGTTCTGATTCCAATCCATTGCCACTAATATTTACTCAGCTGAGTGTCTGTGTGGGAAAATGCAACTGATAATACAGAAGAGAGATGAAGATAGAATGATAGTCACCGTATTATCTCTTAATGCATCAGCCAGATACTGTGCTCCCTCGGCTCCAATTTCATTGCCGTAGAGCAATAGTGCTGTAAGTGTCTGTATGAATAAGTGCAGATGAGAATATGGGAGATAGATGAAGATATAATGAGGAGCACTGTGTTATTTCTTAATGCATCAGCCAGATGTTTTGCTCCTTTGGCTCCGATTTGATTGGAGTACAGATTGAGTGTGGTGAGTGTCTGTGTGAACAAGTGCAGATGAAGATATGAGAGAGGGATGAAGATAAAAATGATCGTCACCGTGTTATTTCTTAACTCATCAGGCAGATGTTTTGCTCCTTGTTTTCGGATTTTATTATCCCCAATATGTAATACGGTGATTGTCTGTATGAACAAGGGCAGATGAGAATATGGCAGATAAATGAAGATAGAATGATGATCACCGTGTTATTTCTTAATGCAACAGCCAGATATTTTGCTCCTTTAGCTCCGATTCGGTTAGACTCAATATTTAGTGTAGTGAGTGTCTGTGTGAAAAAGTGTAGATGAAGAGATGAGAGAGGGATAAAGGTAGAATGATAGTCACCGTATTATTTCTTAATGCATTAGCCAGATATTTTGCTCCTATGGGTCCAATTTGATGATATTTAATATCTAGTGTGGTGAGTGTCTGCGTGAAAAGAATGCAGCTGCTATCGCTGTACTGTTGTACGTTGTACAGCTTATCAGATATATTCAATAGGAAAGAGTCTGATTGTTTAGTTGTGTTTCAGGAAAGATATAATAACTGTTGTGTGAGGAGAAAACAACTATGTGATGGAAATGGTTCCGCTGGATAGAATTTTTTTATGGTGCGTTTTGACCGCTTAGGTTTAATCGAATCTCTTTTTCGGGAATATTTGTGTCTCAGTATTTGTGAGTACAGCGGATATTGGAGATTTCTGTGTTAGGTGTTTTGGATATCGTTTTTCAAGTTAGATTTAGGAGTACATGTGAATGGATGAAGGAATTCGAGTTATGACAAATGAAGTGTTGTTGGAATTTGTTGCATCTCAGGAAAAAGTGAGTAGTCGTGGAAAGTTTTGGTAATTTGATTCATGCTAGTGCAGTAGGTGCAAAATATCAATATAAATTTCATTTGAATGGTACCTTATAGCTTTGTCTTAAGATTATTAGAAGGTGAATTTTGTATAGATGCGAGTAAGTGTATTTCTATTTATTTTTTTTTAGAAAGCTTTCTGAGAGATCTGATTTGAACTAAAATATAGATGTAGACAGCGATAGAGTATCTGACATAGGAGATAAGCGTATAAAAGTAAAGCAAACAGACAGCTAGTGTTACAAAAAGCAAAATGGTGTCGAAGAAGAAAATGAAAAATGTTATTTTGGAGAAAGATGACGTGAAACCTTCTGCGTAACTGTAGACATTAGTAGCAAGAATAATTATCGGGTCCAATCAAAACTAGAGAACTCAATGATAGTATGAATGCTTTTTAGTGGAGTAACAATAAGTAGCTTTAAGGAGTCAAATTAGGGGTGGTAAATTAGCATTAGTATTACAAAAATGCTAATGCTTTAAGCATTAGTATTAAAATTAAGCCTAATACTTTAGGATTATTGGCATTAGTGTTAAGTAATGCATAGGTGTTAGTATTAAATTAGTCTTATTTTTAACACTAATACTTGGATTCGGAAAACAGTAGAAAATAGTTCTGTTTTTGGGAATATGACTCACCAGTGCGGCACCAATGAGTCATACTTTCCCAAAAACAGAACAATTTTCTACTGTTTTCCGAATCCAAGTATTAGTGTTAAAAATAATGCTAATTTAATGCTAACACCTATGCATTACTTAGCACTAATGCCAATAATGCTAAAGCATTAGGCTTAATTTTAACATTAATGCTCAAAGCATTAGAATTAGTATTAATAAATGCTAATGTTAATTCTAATGCACCACTCCTAAGTCAAATCCTTAACGGTTATTGAGAAAGAAAAAAAATGAGGCATTGTCATCAAGTCCAAAGACACGAAGATTCCGGCTAGATTACTTTTCGAAAATTATAAAATTTTCATTGCTACATAAGACAAAAGGTTATGAAAGTTATATGATTCATTAGAATAATTAATGGTCGATGAAATCACATAAAAGAACTGGTGGAAATTTCTCAACAATATGGCAAAATATACAGAACTTATGCAGAAGGTAACCATGTTATAAATATTACCGGGTGTAACAAAAGTTTTGCGGCATTTTTTGTTTTGCATGTATCTCTGTTCAGGAGCATGACAAATTGTTGATCTTTTTTCAAAAGATGCGCCGTCGAATTCTCTACAAACTTCCATTTATCTTAGTTTAGGACAATAGAAGTGAACATTTTTATAAGTCTCAGAGTGTAATATGTGAATTGAGCCTACTTCCCACACATTATTTTCTGTTGTTCCAACGATCTTTCTAAGTTAAAAACAGGCACCAAAGAGACTTTCTATTTGTAATTTGAGTGCACATCAAATGCTCTTTTAGAATTATCTGCAAGTGTTTGATCAGAATCCATATTTGTCTAAAACCTATGACCTGTCTGATCTGCTACAACTAAAACGGCTTTGTTGACATTATTCGGATTCTTCTTCCAGTTGAATTCTTTCCCCACGCGTTACTAGGGCTCTCCATAGAAAAACAAATCAATTTTCGAGGGCTGGACCATTTCCCCTTCTCAGAGAGAAACTGTTCTACTTCAAGGAGAAATGCTTAAACCACATAAAGTCAAGGCGAAATGCTTTCTTAACACACTCCCAACCATTATATTGATCCAAAATCCTAACAGAAATTGTTCATCCATTTCTCGATCTACCAGCAGAAATGGAAAATATATAGAGAGAAATGGATATTTATTTTTGTTCATCTTAAGGGTTTGTTCGAGGAGAAATGGATTTTTTCCAGCAGAAATGGTTAAAATTCTAAGAGAAATGCTTTATCCATTTCTCGATCTATAAGTAGAAATGAAAAACATACAGAGGGAAATGCATATTTATTTTTTTTTCATCTTAAGGGTATTGCATGGCGCGAGAAAATGAGAAATACGATTAACATATGTTGAACGACAAGTTGTAGCTACACCGTTAATAATAGATAAAACCATTGCATGGGCATTAACATGTGTTTCTTTCGTTCTTTCCATTTCTCCTTGTTGAACCATTTCTCTCTGAAAGAAAAACCATTTCCCTTGAAATTCAAGTATTTGCAGAATATCATAGAATAGATTATATATATATGTTTT